TTTTTTTATCTGACTAAAAATGTCACAATTGTTAATTTTCTGTCTGGTTCACTTGTTTCATAAAATGTTGTTCCTATTACTGAAATATTTTTATCTGACTAAGACGTCATAAATTTTGAAATTTTTATCTGATTAGAATGTTACAACTGTTGAATTTTTGTCTGACTCAATTAATAATTAAAATGTCACTTCCGCAATATTTTATGATTTATCTGGCTAAAAAAAATTATTTTTTATTTAAATTTTTGGAGTGTCACATTCTACCCTCCTTAAAAGATGTTTCGTCCCGAAACATTACTATATCTAAGTAATCAAATTCTTAAGTGTTACACCCCCACACTTTTAAATATTGATAGGAAGGCCGTCTGCCTTTCCACAACTCGTACGGAGTTTTGTCATATTTTTTCCGGGGAACCTTATTTAAAAGGTAATTGCTTGACAAGACTGCTTCGCCCCACATATTTTGTGGCAAGCCCGAACTTACTAGCATCGCGTTCATCATATCTTTCAATGTGCGATTCTTTCGTTCGGCAACACCATTTGATTGAGGTGAATAGGGTGCGGTACGTTCATGTACTATACCCACGCTCACGCAAAAGTCACCAATTGGTGCTTCATACTCACCACCTCGATCACTTCTAACCATTTTAATTCATCGATTAAGTTGGTTTTCCACTTCATTCTTATAAAGAATGAATTTATCGATTGCTTCGTGTTTATTTTTTAATAAATAAACATAGCTATAGCGAGTGCTATCATCGGTAAAAGTAATAAAATATTTATTACCGCCACGTGTTTGTATTGATTTAAAATCACAAACGTCACTATGAATTAATTCAAGTGGCTCCGTTTTTCTTTCAACCGATTTGAAAGATGTTTTCGCTAGTTTTGCCTCTACACAAACTCCACATTTGTGATTCACATCAATTGTGAATTTAGGAATGTGTTCCATGTTAATTAATCTACGTATAGAATTAAAATTAACATGTCCTAGTCTACCATGCCACACATTGGAAGACTCAAGCAAGTAAGCAGGAGAGATTTTATTATTATTATTATTATTAATAGTCATTACATTGAGCTTAAACAGCCCATCAACTGCATACCCCTTCCCCACATACATTCCCGATTTGGACAAAACTAGTTTGTCCAACTCAAAGACCATGCGGAACCCATGCTTGTTCAACAAAGAGCCTGAGATCAAGTTTTTGCGTATCTCCGGGACGTACAACACATTGTTGAGAGTCAGGTCCTTGCCCGAAGTCATCTTCAGGACCACCTTGCCCATGCCTTCAACCTCGGAATGAGCAGAATTCCCCATCTACACCTTCTCACCGTTTGATGGCTCAAAGGTTGTGAATAGCTCCCGGTTAGATCAAATGTGCCGGGTTGCACCGGTGTCCACGAACCACTCCTTGGAATTGGATCCAACGAGGTTGACTTCGGTAACCACAGCCGCTAGGATGATGTCTTCATCCTTTTGCCTACCTTGCACCAAGTTGACTTGGGAGTCTTTCTTCTTCCGTGGTGCCTTGCAATCCGAGGACTTGTGTCCATTCTTGTTGCAATTGAAGCATTTTCCATTAAATTTGGGTTTGGAAACGCCTCCCTTGGGACCGAGCTTGCTCTTCCCATTATTTTTATTTTTGGAGCCTTTTGCATGCTCCACCACATTGGCCTTGGCGCCGCTAATGATTGGGAGTCTCCCATCGTTCTTCCGATTATCCTCTTCAATCCGCAGACGGAGGATCAACTGTTCCAAGTTCATTTCCTTTTGCTTATGCTTAAGGTAGTTCTTGAAATCCTTCCAAGCCGGCGGCAATAAATGGATTAATGACGCCACTTGGAAAGACTCGCTAACCGTCATTCCTTGATCTCGAATTCCGTTGAAGATCATTTGCATTTCTTCAACTTGACTCAAGACCGTCTTCGAATCCACCATTTTAAAATCAAGGAATCGACCGACAACAAATTTCTTTGCACCGGCATCCTCGCTCTTATATTTGTGGTCCAAAGCATTCCATAGCTCCTTAGCCGTAGCTAATTTACTATACACGTCGTACAGAGCATCATGCAGCCCGTTCAACACGTAGTTTCGGCAAAGGAAGTCAGAATGCTTCCAAGCCTCAACCGCGTTGAAAGATTGCGCATCCACCTCACCCCCGGTTACTACCGGCACATCCTCGGTCAAGAAACGTGCAAGACCGAGAGTAGTGAGATAGAAGAGCATCTTTTGCTGCCACCTCTTGAAGTTTAACCCATTAAATTTTTCGGGTTTCTCCACAGAGTTGCTCGGCACGGTCACCATAGGGATAGCCCTTTGGTTAAGGTGGATTAAGGTGTGTTAATGGCTGTTTAAGGGTTATGATCGTTGGACATCAATGTCCTAAACGTTGGGCATTGATTCCAGTCCTTAAACAACCCAAAACGTTCATATGAACGTTGGGACATCAATGGCAGCATATAGACCTTGGGCATTTATGTGCATGGAGCAAAAATTAAAGTAGGAACGTACCAGAAGAACAAAAATTAACGTTATCTTTAGAAGATAGATTTTCGGATGACATTCGTGTGTGCAGGTCGCCCCGCACACGCAAGTCGCGGTTTTTGTTCTTCGGTTTCGGGATTTGATTCGCACCCCCCCCCCTGCGCGCGTGAGAGAGCCTTTCCTTTTAGGAATCTTACCTCCTTAGGGGGGGGGGTTCGCTTTATAAAGGGTTCAAATTCCCTTGTGATTTTCGGTGTGGGAAAGAACCCACACTAAAACCCACATTTTCCTAGTTTTCTCCATTCCAACGGGTAAACTTAGAAAAACAATTTCTCATTCACCCGTTATCCTTTTTGAGTGTACCATATATCGAATTGTAGCCCTTAGCAAGGACAATCCGAAACCACTTTGACACGACCCAAATCGGAAGTGGACCCCACTCAAATAATTGCCCCAAAATGACAATTTAATACAATTTTAACACATTTTTTCAAACACAAGTTGCGTTGGGTTCCTATCGTAAATATACACAATTCTTCTTCAGGACTCAAGTCCAAATTATTAATCGAAACAAAGATATACGTCTTTCACTTAGGTGCATACTCTTCAGGATTACTAAATCAACCGTGTTACGGAGATTCACATAAATTGTGAATACGTTATGGGAATGCTGAAATACGAGTTGCGTTGGGTTCCTATCGTAAATATACACAAATATTTTTCAGGACTCAAGTCCAAATTATTAATAGAAACAAAGATATACGTCTTTCACTCAGGTGCATACTCTTCAGGTTTACTAAATCAACCGTGTTACGGAGATTGGCTTAAATTTTGAATACATTATGGGCATGCTGAAATACGAGTTGCGTTGGGTTCCTATCGTAAATATACACAATTCTTCTTCAGGACTCAAGTACAAATTATTAATGGAAACAAAGATATAAGTCTTTCACTCAGGTGCATACTCTTCCGGTTTACTAAATCAACCGTGTTACGGAGATTGGCTTAAATTGTGAATACAATATGGGAATGCTGAAATACGAGTTGCGTTGGGTTCCTATCGTAAATATACACAATTCTTCTTCAGGACTCAAGTCCAAATTATTAATAGAAACAAAGATATACGTCTTTCACTCAGGTGCATACTCTTCAGGTTTACTAAATAAACCGTGTTACGGAGATTGGCTTAAATTTTGAATACATTATCGACATGCTGAAATAAAAGTTGCGTTGGGTTCCTATCGTTAATATACACAAGTCTTCTTCCGGACTGAAGTCCAAATTATTAATAGAAACAAAGATATACGTCTTTCACTCAGGTGCATACTCTTCAGGTTTACTAAATCAATCGTGTTACGAAGATTGGCTTAAATTGTGAATACATTATGGGAATGATGAAATAGGAGTTGCGTTGGGTTCCTATCGTAAATACACACAATTCTTCTTTAGGACTCAAGTCCAAATTATTAATAGAAACAAAGATGTACATCTTTCACTCAGGTGCATACTCTTCAGGTTTACTAAATCAACCGTGTTACGAAGTTTGGCTTAAATTTTGAATACATTATGGGCATGCTGAAATACAAGTTGCGTTGGGGTCCTATCGTAAATATACACAATTCTTCTTCAGGACTCAAGTCCAAATTATTAATCGAAACAAAGATATACGTCTTTCACTCAGTGCATACTCTTCAGGTTTACTAAATCAACCGTGTTACGGAGATTGACATAAATTGTGAATACATTATGGGAATGCTGAAATATGAGTTGCGTTGGGTTCCAATCGTAAATATACACAATTATTCTTCAGGACTCAAGTCCAAAATATTAATAGAAACAAAGATATACGTCTTTCACTCAGGTGCATACTCTTCAGGTTTACTAAATCAACCGTGTTACGAAGATTGGCTTAAATTTTGAATAGATTATGGGCATGCTGCAATACGAGTTGCGTTGGGTTCCTATCGTGAATATACACAATTCTTCTTCAGGACTCAAGTCCAAATTATTAATAGAAACAAAGATATAAGTCTTTCACTCAGGTGCATACACTTCAGGTTTACTAAATCAACCGTGGTACGGAGATTGGCTTAAATTTTGAATACATTATGGGCATGCTGCAATACGAGTTGCGTTGGGTTCCTATTGTAAATATACACCACTACTAGAAAAAGGACTTTTAACAACGAAAAATATGGTCGTTATAAGCTCAAAAGTTCGTCGTTATAGCTTTTAACGATGACTTTTGTTTTGTCGTCAAGTGGTCGTTACAGGTCCCGTCGTTATTGGTTTTAACGACAAAGTTCGTCGTTAAAAATTAACGATGACACAAGATGTCATCGTTACTCATTAACGACGACACAAGATGTCATCGTTATTTATTAACGACGACACAAGTTGTTCTCGTTACTTAGTAACGACAAAATATTCACTCATCGTTACATTTTAACAACATAATTCTCCGTTGTCGTATACAATTTGTTAGCATCATTACATATAGCTAACAACAATGTTTTCATAACCACAACCAACTTGCATACAAAGTTTCAAACCCCATGTAAAATCAATACTTGTACATTCAACAACATATAACAACTAAGTTTTTAATAAATTCTACGATCAATAAATCAATAATATTTTACATATAACAATTACAATAAGTTGACACAAAATAGTAATCATCCTCATAAACAAAAACAAAAAAAATCCCATACTTAATTGTCAAACATATGTATCTGAAGAACTATACATAAACGTGAACCCTAAGCCACAAAGTAATCATTCGACGGCACTGCTCCAACTTCTCATATTTAAACACCTGCAAAAATTAAAAACAAAATTCAGTTTTTCTAATAAAATGATAAATAGTTACGAGAAACAAAATGGTTCTTAAAAAATTCTTTTCCAAACCCAGTAAGCCATGAATAGATCTAAAAACTATGAGAATAATAACAATTGTAATTCATACCTTATGATCCACTCTAAGAAGGGATGGAAACATTAAGTTGTTTCATCAATATCTCTTGAAAGATATGCATTTGAGCAGAACCCATACGATCCTTAAATGCCATGTTTTTCTTCTTGAATTGTTTCCATGTGATTGGCGAGAAATTGTTTCTGTTTTTAGTAGCACTCAACTTAGCTTGAAGCTTTTCTCTGCTAGGTTGTTGCCCAATTATTTCCTCACGATTTGTTCCTCCTCCAGAACACACAACCTTATCCCGAGACTTAAAACTTTTTGTGCTACCTATATATGAGAAGAATACAACACCACATGAATTTTGAATGCACCACTCAAAAACAATAGTTCCAATGTAGACTGTGAAATAAATATGCTGAGCAGAAATATAGAAGTGGGAAAAGTTACCGCGACATTAGAAAGTGAAAGGTCTTTTTTATTGTCTCGTGGATTTCTTCCTGCAAAAATATAGACCATAACCAAGGTAATAAATGATGAAGGAATGAATTTAAGTCTTTCTTCTAATACTTTAAATCGTAATTGATATCTCTCCTGGTAGTAACATGAAGATGCTTTCAAAACAAAGATCTGAAGGGAGTGAAGATGAAAATATCATAATAAATTTACAAAAAATATACTCACTTTTAGCTGTGCTTCTGCCTTTGGAGTGCGCTCTACCACTGCAAGCTTATCTCGTAGCTATTGCATTTCACCCTGCACAGATATAAAGCCACAGTCCAAAGCATCTTCAATTTGTTTCCCTTGGAATTAAGTGGAAACGAATAAATAAGGATTAAATGGTATAATATTATGCAGGGATAAGGAAAGATTTCAAGTAAAGTGGTCCAAAAGAAGGGAACTGGAATAGCACACCTTGTTGACTAGCTCGATTACAATACGCTCACAAGAAGCTACTTAACAATATGCAACAATAGATTGAAAGGATTAAATTTCACTAATGTACAAAATGGGGTATAGGAAATGAACAACTCATAGAAAAGTGAACTTACATATTTCTCTGATCTCTCTATACTTGGAAGCTTATCACCTTTCTTGCGGGATGTATAGAAGACATCAACTGACTTTGGATTATTCCCCTCACTTGCACCTTTCAAAAAACAGAAGTTTCAATTGTGAATAATTGAACTTAATATAACATTTCTTAAAGAATAACATAATCTATGAAATTCCTTAACAAATCATCCCAAATGATTTGTCTAAAAGGCTTGCTCCCTGTTCGGTGCATTAACCCATTAACATTAGCCCATTAGCATAACATCCCCCTATTAGAACTTAGAAGTAGGGGTTCTGGAATAAGCTGGGGAGATATAGCTCACTGCATTAGTTTTTTAAAATCTTTAGTATGTCATTCTTTAAGGCGTTGAGTCTATTTAACTGTCATTAGCCACCAGAGCATACACCACATAAGTCTTTTACCCATCAGATTTGGATTCACCTTTGGACATGTTAGCTCATGTTTACCTAGCTAGACAGTCCCACCATTAAGTCAATGGTGTCTGTCCTACGTCCAACCCTTGTCCTAGATGGAAGGTAAATTTCTATGTAATGTTCTTAATCAAATTATGTCAGTTCTTTTGTCATTGCATTTATTGTCAAGTTTAGTTTATTGAGTTTCTATTTGTCTGTTCTAATGCTAACATTTAACAAACTCACACCGACATGGGATGAATACTGAACATATAATTTGGATAAAGTTTTGCAGAATAACACCTTATGTTGTATGAAAGATGTATCGAGATTAGGTAAATTCAAGTAAAAACAATTATGTGTTCTATTTAATCTTTTGTTAGCTAATGACCTGTGCTATGTATTTAAATTATATATAATAAAGTTGTTCTAAGTAAAAAAATATGAGTTCTGTTTTATCTTTTGGCACCTATAAGAACTAGTCATTATTTATATTATGTGTATTTTATTTTTCTACGGTGTTCCATTTCCCATGATAGCTGTCTAGGTAGTTAGTACCAATAGTTGGTAAAAAAGGACCATGATACTAGAAACACATTCAGAACATTTACATGATATTAGAAACACATTCAGAACATGTACATAAGTTTTTCTAGTTAGTAACAGCCTTTTGTATGTAAGAACAAGAGATACACTCTTATTAGCATAGTAAAGCATATAATACTACATAGTCTACATGTAGGCTAAAGTAAAGTGATGCATAGTTTATACAAATAATAAGGTGATTTTAAAGATAAGAAATGTAGGCAGAGTTAAAACAAAACAAAAACATCCTAAATATCATTATTTATTTACAGTCAAATATTTTTTAGCAAATGGATGAAATTCTAGACTAAAGATAACAATACAAAAAGGGGGTATGGGCCTTTGAAACTTGTTAACTCTTCTGTGTGGGGTAGAAAAGTCTCAATCTATGTTTGAGAATAAAGAAGCATGGAACTCATAGAATGAAATACCTTAATGCAAAATAGTGAATTGTCAAATTTGACACAACGAAGAACTCATGTGGGTGTTTGCTGATCATGGTTTAACTGTCAAACAAAACAAAACTTATCAATTAGTAGAAAATTAACCATTACCGGTTTCAATAATGCTAAAAAAGTTTACCAGTTTACTAGTATACATTTATGATATGATGTTTAGGCAACACAGACTAAAATGAAAAGATTTCTAAAAAAAAAAGTTTGAATATCTCAAACTATCAGCTACCTCTTATAGATTCATTCATTCCCAGATTTCTCGAGGTCATTCATTCAAATCATGTAAAAAATGGAATCAACCGTAGTATTACCACAAATAAATACAGGGGCAGCGAAATTTGAATCACCCATAGCATTCTCACAAATAGAGGACCCAAAAAATTAAAATTAAACAAAAACCAAAGAGAAAAGAACTGAAACAGAGAAGTCAGTCGTCACCTATGTGGTTCTAGGACAGCTACTTTGCTCTATCTAGCTTTGACAAAACCATCAAGCCCGCCACATAGCTCAAACACTTGCACAAAGTGATTGCTAAGGGTGGGACATTAATTGCTAGCTCTCACTCGAGATATATAGAGCAGATTGCAAATATGGTATGCACAACAGTGAGGATATATGGGGCTTTGGCAGCGGTTCATTTGGACCAAACTCCCTCCAACTTTCCATCGTTTTCAGAAATAGAGTGAGGATAGGAAGGATGAATCAGCGATTCAGCCAAGCAATTACACGAAACAAATAAACCAAGCAATTCAACGAAGCAAAAACCAATCAAATAACCTAACCAAATCAGCCAAGACAATCAACCAATCAAATCAGCGATATAGGTTATTTAAACATATCAAGACAAGAAAATTAGAATAGTAAATATTAGAACCCTGTAAGTTGTTACGGAAGTACATGGGGCCGAACACATTGGATTGGTTCTTCTCGTTGGTGCCGATGTCCATATCTTTGTACTTCAGGTACGCCTGTTTAGAGCTGAAGCTAATGTATTGGGTCATGAACTCGTACAAAGCATTGGCTTGGTTCAGCGCCGAACACATTGTATTGGTTCTTCTCGTTCGATTTCGTACGCCAGTATCACTCAGAAACTTACGCCGCCGCAGATGGCCCAAAATAGATCCTCTCCCATGCCTTCCCAGTCCAGAATCGCCCCGCTCCCATTAACTTACTATACGCGCGGCGACAGAGATGACAAGTCTGATAGACTTTAGCTCTGGGTCGACAGAGATTGATTGGCATCCGGTGGAATTGAAGACGAAGCGTAGGGAAAAATAATATGAAGTGCGGCTGCGAACCGAGATTAGGGCATTTAACCTTGTGTGTTTTGCCCAGCTAACCGGCTTTTGGAGCGAAAATAATTGGAATTCAGAAATTTTGGCCGCCATATTTAAATATTTACGATTACAATCTTAAAGAATTGGTTTTTTGTTTTCCTAATTTGTTTTTCGAAAACATGATTAGTGATAACGATGACTACATATTGATTAATAACGATGACCTTTCATAAATAGTCGTTAATAATAAACTTAATAACGACGAACTTATTAATCATTGTTAAAAAGCACTTTTAACGACAATTTGTGAGAGTCATCGTTATAGGGTGGTCGTTAAAAGTCGTTTTTCTAGTAGTGCACAATTCTTCTTCAGGACTCAAGTCCAAATTATTAATAGAAACAAAGATATAAGTCTTTCGCTCAGGTGCATACTCTTCAGGTTTACTAAATCAACCGTGTTACGGAGATTGGCTTAAATTGTGAATACATTATGGGAATGCTTAAATACGAGTTGCGTTGGGTTCCTATCGTAAATATACACAATTATTCTTCAGGACTCAAGTCCAAAATATTAATAAAAACAAAGATATACGTCTTTCACTCAGGTGCATACTCTTCAGGTTTACTAAATCAACCGTGTTACGGAGATTGGCTTAAATTTTGAATACATTATGGGAATGCTGCAATACGAGTTGCGTTGGGTTCCTATCGTAAATATACACAATTCTTCTTCAGGACTCAAGTCCAAATTATTAATAGAAACAAAGATATACGTCTTTCACTCAGGTGCATACTCTTCAGGTTTACTAAATCAACCGTGTTACAGAGATTGGCTTAAATTGTGAATACATTATGGGAATTCTGAAATACGAGTTGCGTTGGGTTCCTATCGTAAATATACACAATTCTTCTTCAGGAGTCAAGTCCAAATTATTAATAGAAACAAAGATATACGTCTTTCACTCAGGTGCATACTCTTCAGGTTTACTAAATAAACCGTGTTACGGAGATGGGCTTAAATTTTGAATACATTAACGGCATGCTAAAATACGAGTTGCGTTGGGTTTCTATCGTAAATATACACAATTCTTCTTCAGGACTCAAGTCCAAATTATTAATAGAAACAAAGATATACGTCTTTCACTCAGGTGCATACTCTTCAGGTTTACTAAATCAACCGTGTTACGAAGATTGGCTTAAATTGTGAATAAATTATGGGAATGATGAAATACGAGTTGCGTTGGGTTCCTATCGTAAATATACACAATTCTTCTTCAGGAATCAAGTCCAAATTATTAATAGAAACAAAGATGTACGTCTTTCACTCAGGTGCATACGCTTAAGGTTTACTAAATCAACCGTGTTACGGAGATTGGCTTAAATTTTGAATACATTATGGGCATGCTGAAATACAAGTTGCGTTGAGTTCCTATGGTAAATATACGCAATTCTTCTTCAGGACTCAAGTCCAAATTATTAATCGAAACAAAGATATACGTCTTTCACTCAGGTGCATACTCTTTAGGTTTACTAAATCAATCGTGTTACGGAGATTGGCATAGATTGTGAATACATTATGGGAATGCTGAAATACGAGTCGCGTTGGGTTCCTATTGTAAATATACACAATTCTACTTCAGGACTGAAGTCCAAATTATTAATAGAAACAAAGATATAAGTCTTTCACTCAGGGGCATACTCTTCAGGTTTACTAAATCAACGGTGTTACGGAGATTGGCTTAAATTGTGAATACATTATGGGAATGCTTAAATACGAGTTGCGTTGGGTTTCTATCGTAAATATACACAATTCTTCTTCAGGATGCAAGTCCAAATTTTTTAATAGAAACAAAGATATACGTCTTTAACTCAGGTGCATACTCTTCAGGGGTACTAAATCAACCGTGTTACGAAGATTAGCTTAAATTTTGAATACATTATGGGCATGCTGAAATACGAGTTGCGTTGTTTTCCTATCGTAAATATACACAATTCTTCTTCAGGACTCATGTCCAAATTATTAATAGAAACAAAGATATAAGTCTTTCATTCAGGTCCATACTCTTCAGGTTTACTAAATCAACTGTGTTACGGAGATTGGCTTAAATTGTGAATACATTATGGGAATGCTGAAATACGAGTTGCGTTGGGTTCCTATCGTAAATATACACAATTCTTCTTCAGGACTCAAGTCCAAATTATTAATAGAAACAAAGATATACGTCGTTCACTCAGGTGCATACTCTTCAGGTTTACTAAATCAACCGTGTTACGGAGATTGGCTTAAATTTTGAATACATTATGGGCATGCTGAAATACGAGTTGCGTTGGGTTCCTATCGTAAATATACACAATTCTTCTTGAGGATGCAAGTCCAAATTTTTTAATAGAAACAAAGATATACGTCTTTAACTCAGGTGCATACTCTTCAGGTTTACTAAATCAACCGTGTTACGAAGATTAGCTTAAATTTTGAATACATTATGGGCATGCTGAAATTCGAGTTGTGTAGTTTTCCTATCGTAAATATACACAATTCTTCTTCAGGACTTATGTCCAAATTATTAATAGAAACAAAGATATAAGCCTTTCACTCAGGTCCGTACTCTTCAGGTTTACTAAATCAACTGTGTTACGGAGATTGGCTTAAATTGTTAATACATTATGGGAATGCTGAAATACGAGTTGTGTTGGGTTCCTACTGTAAATATACACAATTCTTCTTCAGGACTCATGTCCAAATTATTAATAGAAACAAAGATATAAGTCTTTCACTCAGGTGCATACTCTTCAGGTTTACTAAATAAACCGTGTTACGGAGATTGGCTTAAATTGTGAATACATTATGGGAATGCTTAAATACGAGTTGCGTTGGGTTCCTATCGTAAATATACACAATTCTTCTTCAGGACTCAAGTCCAAATTATTAATAGAAACAAAGATATACGTCTTTCACTCAGGTGCATACTCTTCAGGTTTACTAAATCAACCGTGTTACAGAGATTGGCTTAAATTTTGTATACATTATGGGCATGCTGAAATACGAGTTGTGTTGGGTTCCTATCGTAAATATACACAATTATTCTTCAGGACTCAAGTCCAAAATATTAATAGAAACAAAGATATACGTCTTTCACTCAGGTGCATACTCTTCAGGTTTACTAAATCAACCGTGTTACGGATATTGGCTTAAATTTTGAATACATTATGGGCATGCTGCAATACGAGTTGCGTTGGGTTCCAATCGTAAATATACACAATTCTTCTTCAGGACTCAAGTCCAAATTATTAATAGAAACAAAGATATACGTCTTTCACTCAGGTGCATACTCTTCAGGTTTACTAAATCAACCGTGTTACAGAGATTGGCTTAAATTGTGAATACATTATGGGAATTCTGAAATACGAATTACGTTGGGTTCCTATCGTAAATATACACAATTCTTCTTCAGGAGTCAAGTCCAAATTATTAATAGAAACAAAGATGTACGTCTTTCACTCAGGTGCATACTCTTCAGGTTTACTAAATAAACCGTGTTACGGAGATGGGCTTAAATTTTGAATACATTATGGGCATGCTGAAATACAAGTTACGTTGGGATCCTATCGTAAATATACACAAATCTTCTTCAGGACTCAAGTCCAAATTATTAATCGAAACAAAGATATACATCTTTCACTCAGGTGCATACTCTTTAGGTTTACTAAATCAACCGTGTTACGGAGATTGGCATAAATTGTGAATACATTATGAGAATGCAGAAATATGAGTCGCGTTGGGTTTCTATCGTAAATATACACAATTATTCTTCAGGACTCAAGTCCAAATTATTAATAGAAACGAAGATATACGTCTTTCACTCAGGTGCATACTCTTCAGGTTTACTAAATCAACCGTGTTACGGAGATTGGCTTAAATTTTGAATACATTATGGGCATGCTGCAATACGAGTTGCGTTGGGTTCCTATTGTAAATATACACAATTCTTCTTCAGGACTCAAGTCCAAATTATTAATAGAAACAAAGATATAAGTCTTTCGCTCAGGTGCATACTCTTCAGGTTTACTAAATCGATCGTGTTACGAAGATTGGCTTAAATTGTGAATACATTATGGGAATGCTTAAATACGAGTTGCGTTGGGTTCCTATCGTAAATATACACAATTCTTTATCAGGATGCAAGTCCAATTTGTTTAATAGAAACAAAGATATACGTCTTTAACTCAGGTGCATACTCTTCAGGTTTATTAAATCAACCGTGTTACGAAGATTAGCTTAAATTTTGAATACATTATGGGCATGCTAAAATACGAGCTGCGTTGTTTTCCTATCGTAAATATACAGAATTCTTCTTCAGGACTCATGTCCAAATTATTAATAGAAACAAAGATATAAGTCTTTCACTCAGGTCCATACTCTTCAGGTTTACTAAATCAACTGTGTTACGAAGATTGGCTTAAATTGTGAATACATTATGGGAATGCTTAAATACGAGTTGCGTTGGGTTCCTATCGTAAATATACACAATTCTTCTTCAGGATGCAAGTCCAAATTTTTTAATAGAAGCAAAGATATACGTCTTTAACTCAGGTGCATACTCTTCAGGTTTACTAAATCAACCGTGTTACGAAGATTAGCTTAAATTTTGAATACATTATGGGCATGCTGAAATACAAGTTGCGTTGATTTCCTATCGTAAATATACACAATTCTTCTTCAGGACTCATGTCCAAATTATTAATAGAAACAAAGATATAAGTCTTTCACTCAGGTCCATACTCGTCAGGTTTACTAAATCAACTGTGTTACGGAGATTGGCTTAAATTATGAATACATTATGGGAATGCTGAAATACGAGTTGCGTTAGGTTCCTATCGTAAAGACACACAATTCTTCTTCAGGACTCAAGTCCAAATTATTAATAGAAACAAAGATATACGTCTTTCACTCAGGTGCATACTCTTCAGGTTTACTAAATCATCCGTGTTACGGAGATTGGCTTAAATTTTGAATACATTATGGGCATGCTGAAATACGAGTTGCGTTGGGTTCCTATCATAAATATACACAA